TGGGGGGAAGGAGGTTCAATTTTGTCGTCGCGATAACTCGCGCAAATTATGAGGTTTTCCCCCAAAATTTTTATAGGAGGTAGATCTTACTAAGTACTAGGCTGATATTGAATTTGAGCAAAATCGGCCGCGCCGTTTAAAAATGGCGAGCTTTGAAAGTGTTAGACGGGGGGTGGGGGGATTAGTTTCTCTCAATTGCATACTGACACATATACGGAACTGAATTCTGATAATGTTCATTTTTCTTCTCTTTTCTTTCAGCCAGTCAATAGACGTTGTCATTTTCATGAACCCTCTACTCTTTCAGTTATTCAACAAATATGCATATTTCAAAAAATACCTAGATCAATATATTACAGAAATAAAGAAAGAGATGTATATATTGTAGCTTCGTTTTTATTGAGTCATCCTAGAAGATTATTATGGGTACTTACCACAAGATATGAAAAATTGAATGCGCGGTTAAAAAAAACAAAAAAAAAAAAATGTAATAATATCATTTTTCATTATTTCGTTTTGTTCCTCGAAGTTTGGAGTGAAGTTTGAAACATTTGTATTGAAAAATATTAAAATAAGAGGAAATTTATTTTTCATGCAAGTTCTGATTCCTTGAAGAACCTCTGAGAAGGACCAATGTCTCTTGTAGGTATTTCTTCTTTCTCAACCCACAACCGATTTTTATTTGTATGGAGCTCATGGAAGAGTTCTAGGTATGTTGAAGACATTTTGCAAGAAACGGGACTTGTGAAATATACAATGCGCAAAACACACACCTTAAACTTCATCGTACAATATAACACTGATCAAATTAGCTCCATAGACTAACAGGAGGTTAATGTCTCGTCCAAAAATATCAACAAATCAGCCAAAATCAGTAATCAGTAGAAAAATTGCCGAGATTGAAGGATATCGTGTGATGCATACGATTTTATTGATGACATTAGAGCAAGATCGGATTCCCAGCAGGCACGACTTCCTATCATTCAAATGGACCGTTTTCGCAGATTAGCGGATAGTAGCGGCTAATTATTACATAATATCATTCCTGATAGTGTACAAGAAGCAACCCAACAAAGGATTTTGTGGACACTTGTGGACATTTTTTTATCGAGCTATCTTGACATTTTTTTGGGCGTTTTTTGAAAGCAAGTTTTGGAGGTGGTTTTGGCCCTCCTAAAAATATGCCAATGCACATTTATGATATACCAAAATGTTCCTTAAAGGGAGGAGAATAAGCATGTTCAATTGAAATTTTGATTTATCTACTGCAGAACTCATGCAAAAGTGAAATAAAACCTTGAGAATCAGACCAGAAGAAATCAGAAATTTGATACCACATGCAATGTCAACTTTAGGCAACCCACATGTCAAAGCGGGAGGGTTCAAGGACCCTAGAACCATGGTTACATTCATTTTGGAAGCTTAACTACTAGAAAACCGAGAAAAAGTATTCCGACTTTTTTTTTCGTCGCCCATGACCGACCTCTACCATTGACTCGATCCACCGTGGGGCGGCTAGAGAGGAGCAGGGCCGCACAGTGGGTCACGGACTGAAAATTGGTGGCCAAGACGGCAATTTAATCGCACAGTGGGTCACAGAATGAAAATTGGTGGCAAAAACGGCAATGTTGTCGCATAGTGGGTCACGGACTGAAAATTTGTAGACAAGAAGGCGATGTTGTCGCACAGTGAGTCACGGAGATTGACCCATCGTCGTTCAAGCTTGTCACATCGTTCAAGGAAGGAGCTTGATGCAAAAACGGCTTTTTTCGCCCCCCCTCTGGAAGTTCTTCAGACTTTGTCTATTGATTACTCATACTTGAGCGCTTCTTTTCCCAAATTTTCAGACCCCCAAAAAATTTTGGGGGGGAGCTAGGGGGGGTGGAAGTCAAAACCTGTGAACCTCGATATCTCTTGAACAAAGAAAGATATCGAGGTCCGGTTTGGACGAAAAATCGTCTAAAATTGCATACTTTAAGATTCTAAAGGTCGAAATCCCGACATCACATTTTTAAGTCAACATATGTGCTTATTTCCAGTTTTTAGGTCTAGAAAATTTCTTTTAAACGAAAAATTTACAAAGATCTCAATTTTTTATTTGAATCAAAACCAGTTTTTTAAATTGTTCGTCTTTTTTCGCATCCAACGAGTGGTCCATTAAGCTGGGGAACCAAACGGTTCCGGAGTTATGATCGATTGAAGTTCCCGCTCAACGCGCGCCGACCGATTTTCGCGCGCCAAAAAGTCGGATTTGACTGTTATTAGATCAGATTGAATGTTCAAACTGAGCAAAATGCTTTATTAGGGACTCTTGAGGGTCACTGAATTCTCGTTTTTAAAATTGCAGCTTCAGACAGGACCACTGAGCGGCCGGTCGGCGCTCAGTGGGCCTCTAAAATAGCGCTGCGGAGCTGTAATTTTAAAAACGTAATTATTTGGAAGTATCTGTAATTTCTGAACTCAGCTACCTTCAAGAGTCCCTAATAAAGCATTTTGCTCTGTTTGAACATTCAATCTGATCTAATAACAGTCAAATCCGACTTTTTGGCGCGCGAAAATCGGTCGGCGCGCGTTGAGCGGGAACTTCAATCGATCATAACTCCGGAACCGTTTGGTTCCCCAGCTTGATGGACCACTCGTTGGATGCGGAAAAAGACGAACAATTTAAAAAACTGGTTTTAATTCAAATAAAAAATTGAGATCTTTGTAAATTTTTCGTTTAAAAGAAATTTTCTAGACCTAAAAACTGGAAATAAGCACATATGTTAACTTAAAAATGTGATGTCGGGATTTCGACCTTTAGAATCTTAAAGTATGCAATTTTAGACGATTTTTCGTCCAAACCGGACCTCGATATCTTTCTTTGTTCAAGAGATATCGAGGTTCACAGGTTTTGACTTCCACCCCCCCTAGCTCCCCCCCCAAAATTTTTTGGGGGTCTGAAAATTTGGGAAAAGAAGCGCTCAAGTATGAGTAATCAATAGACAAAGTCTGAAGAACTTCCAGAGGGGAGGGGCGAAAAAAGCCGTTTTTGCATCAAGCTCTTTTTTCATATCTGACATTACATGAGGGATTTTAATTGCAATCCTCTGGCGGCATGAAGTCCTTTGAATAATCAATTCTTCCAACAGTGTAAACACAAATATAACCTCAAAAGATTGATCCCCCCTCCCTTCGGAAAATACACTCTTCTCGCGGTGGACACGCGGGTTGCTTAAAAAGACAGAACAACTGAGGCCGGACACTTAGACTAAAACACGCGTGCTTGCGCGCATCTTCTAAATTTGGTCTCTGAACAAAACAAGTTAATATTCTGAATTTGTGTTGTCTACTTACTTGCCAGAGAGCACCAGTGAGAGACTGTCAACTTTTGTGACTTTTTCTTGAGCATAAACTTCCTGATACTTGAGCTGTCGGATCATTTTCATGCAATCTAGAACTTTCTTAAATTGATGTCGGCTAACTTTGAGGGGTCGAAAGAGAGCTTGGTAAACCTATGGATACACAATAAAACATAGAAGATATTATTTAGCAAAAAGGTATGAAAGACAAACAGAAATAATTTATTTTTTCTCTTTCTTTCCATCAAAACAGCAGATTGTATGTTTCCATGGGTTAGCCTCCATTCCGATTCACATATTCAGAGGACTAAAAAAATACCAGCTTCAGCTTTAATTGGCATTAATTGCTATTTTACTTCTCAATACTTGCAATATAAAAGAGTAAGAAAAGTCCAAGATAAGCTATATTCAACTTGAAGATTATTTCTTTAGAAAAAGACAAGTTAAAAATCTGAATTATTACAATACACACACATCGGCGGTAAAACTCCTAAGCCACGTATCTCGTTTGCGGTGTTTAAAAATCTCTGCTCCCATTTTACTTTTTTGAGAGAAGGTCAAATTAAAATCATTCCTTGAAGTTTTCACAGAATTTTCTCAACACAGAGAAAAAAAATTACAGAAGTTTAAACAAAGTGACATCGAGTAGTTTTCCATTTAAAACATCAAGTGTAGGTAGTGGGAAGTTTGCAAAGTCGCAATCTGAGATACATAGTTTTAGGAAGTTTCACTGTCGATATTATAATAACCCCTTAACTGATAATCTATCTGAAAATTGATCCAGTTTCCTGTTTATTGATTCTATACCCGTTAGGGTCTTTTGTGACCTCATTAGCAGATCACACTCAGTAAGTGAACCAAGCTTCACATCCTGCAAAATCCTACACAGCATTACTTAAAACGCTGTCATGGATATGATGCAAAGCATGGCACAAGAGGGCGATCCTCGTGCCATCTGCAGTTGCTGCTTCACAACTCCGGGGATAAGACAAAGAAAAATTGAATTAATTACTTTAATTTCTCACCTCTTCAATTTCTTTAGAGAATTTAATTGGTCTTAAATGATACAGGAGTACGCAAACATGGATAAAGTTGATGGCAACAAAGTTTGCATTCCAGATGAAAGCGTCGAATGAGCACAGAATAGCCCAGCCCCACCAGGCAAAAAATGCGCAGCCAATCAGTAAAGTGCACCTAAGGTATAATATTCCATACATTCCATTTGGAGCTAGGTATGATAAAAAGAAAAACGTATTCGCTAACTGGAAAAACATATGATTAACTGGCCCCCACTGAGAGCAAACAGATATATTGAAAACTGATTCGAAGGACCAGGGCACAATAGACCCATTGTAAAATGAAATATTATTTGAGAGGTCATCCATCAGTTCTAAAGTAATGTTAACTTCATTCGCATTTTTAGTATCATCCACAATGCCCATTTCCTCTGATCAGTTTCTGAATGGTTGGAGTGTACTGGCACTTCCCCTGGTTAGAGTGATTTGAATTATCTGAGGAAGTAGGATATTTATCTGGAGACTCATCACCATCATTACTTCATACTGGAATCAAAACCCTGAAAGAAGTAAGTTAAGGTTCGTATCAGCAGAGTTTCATAAGTAGGTAGTTTTTGAGATACATTTTCACAAGTATGATATGATCCTGCCTTTGTTCTTTTTTTTCTCTCTCTTTTTTTTTGTGTGGGAAGAGATCATGTCCTATAAGGGCTTTCTATTGCCCCTCATTTTTGTTTCTGTTGATCATCTACCGCCTAGCTACGGATTTTCTCGGTAAACTTGTAATTGAAACCAATCAAAATCCAAACGTTTACATCATGTTGTTAACCTGTCAGAAATACAGATAAATCAAAAATTAGTAAACCCCACGATAGATGTGGCGTCCGGTACCCGCAATGGCATAAACCTTGCAAAGGTGATTAGCAGCAGATTTATTTAGAAGTAAAAACAATGTCTTAAATGGGTAGGTAGATGTAAAACTATTAGGCTTATTGTCCTGCATTTGTGGTGATGATGATATTACACATGAAGGTTCAGTTCCTTTCATACATTCTATTAATGTCATAGTCTGTCATCTCCCGAAGAAGCTAATCATGTAGAGCTCTTAACGGATAAGTTGGCAGTTGATAACATTCCTTTGGCAAGCATCTGTGCTGCTGACTTCTAATACCTAGCCATGGAGGATAAACTGAGAACGACAACGATGCTGTGCTGCCATTGTGTGCAGATACCAAACACCAACACCTACCTCTAAGGCCTTGTCACGACGGGACGTTTTCATGGGATTTTTCCCAAGTTCAAATCACAGGAATGAAACTTCTAGGATTTTTCCCAATTACTATCTCAACGTAATGGGGCTCAAACGGTCCTGCGACAAGTTTGCGCGGGAAGATACATGGGTAAAAATTGCGTGTTTAACTGGGATTAAAGTAATATTTGAACACGTTTAACAGTTGGACACATTATTTTAACTAAACAAACACGAACAGTGGAGTAACCAACAAAATACTGTATAATTCGCTTTCACTTCTTCTTTCAATTGGCTCTAAGGGTGCAAGGACTATACTTGGTTCTAGGAAACAATAATGATTCACTCCAAATTTTTCCTGACTTCATAAATAGAATTATTCCCTGGGACAAATCCCATGAAACAGCTTGTGGTTACGAGGCCTAAGGGGATATTCCAAAATTAGTTTACTGAGTGTGACAGTCAGCAGTAAACAACTTCCAAATTCTCTGACGCAAGCTTGAGCAAACCGATGTAACGGCAGTTTTCATCCTTCCATCACATACCTTCATGAAGGGAAAATAGCGACCAAACCGACAACTTACAATGCAGCCAAATACTTGCAAAAAGGTGATAGTTATAGTGCTGGAGAACATGTTCTCTCCAAATTTCAGTCAACAGAATGGCATGGTTGTGGACATGGATGAAAGATTTGTACTGAACTTGCTACAGGGTCAGTGAATGGTGCATTCTGAACGTAGAGCAAATGCAAATGAAAAACAAAATTAAGAGAAGTGCGATAAAAATAATCAATTAAAAAGAAGGAAAAGAGATAAATGTCAAAAGCAGACCTGCTCTGATTTCTCTCCGAGGGTTGGGTTTCTTAGTACCAGGGACGAGTTCCCGTCCCTGTAAGTACTTGGAACTTAGTGTAAGTAGTGTAAGTGTATCTGTGGTTTCAGTCCACGGTATGTGCAACATAAACATACGTAAGGCACTTCATTAGGGTATAAAAGGTGGAAATTGGAAAACGTCAGGAAAGTGGACTGGAGGAGGTGGAAGAAGCTACTTGTAGCATAGAATAACGAGACTAACGTCAACAGAAGCGAAAGCAACCGCCATTTTCATGTCAACAAAACATAACGAAAGGAGGCTGTTTCAATAAGTACTGTTTACGTTTGCGGTGGGTCGACGTTTTGGAGTAGAGTCCCTTTATACCCAGAGTAACGACAACTCGATTATCAGCTGACTGGCAGCCGACCTTGGCTGGCCATGGAGGCCGAAACTAGTGCACTCAAACGAACGATATTGGGGGATAAGGATCAGGAATCCTGCGATGTCTGTCACACAG